CGAATCATTCAGACACCGAATCATTCAGACACCGAATCATTCAGACACCGAATCATTCAGACATTGAATCATCCAGTCACTGAATCATCCAGACACCGAATCATTCAGACACTGAATCATCCAGTCACTGAATCATTTGGACACCAGGTTATTCTGACACCAGATTGTTTAGACACCTGAACACCGGATCATTAAAAAGGCACTCCGGCAGAACATTGACCGTGTCAAGATGGACGTAGTGAATTTAGCTATTCTGTCAGAAACCTAACCTTCATGCTGAGAGTTGAACCTCGCTCTGACCACAGACTCCACCAGCTGCTCCAGAACCAACAGATGTTCCTTCATTTAGAAAGTAGCCGGTTCACAGATTGTGTTTTCTACTCAGAAAGTTTAAATCTGACCCTGAATAACTGAATAAAAACAGTATTCTGTTTGCTGATCTTTAACTGTTTTCTGATAACATGAAGTGCTCTGGGTCCAATTAGTCAACAATCTCAACCTGCTTTTTAGGTTTTAGTTTAAAATGTATTCTTTAGCTTATATTGTCCAGACTTCTCAGTTTATAAATCCAGTCTTATTTTACCCTAATGCTCTGAATCCCGCCTCCTCCCCACCTCCTGGTGTTTTAACTGTGCACTCTGTCCTCCAGCGCCTTCAGCTCGGCCTCCACCTGAGCCGGCAGGTCGGCGCCGACCTGCTGAGTGAAGTAGGCTCTCAGCTCCTTGGCCTCGTTCTGCCAGAACGGCTTCGGCACGTCGAACAGGGCCCCCATGTTGACGTTACTCAGGCCTTTAGTGTCGATGGCGCCGTCTTCCGGCACCCAGCCGATGATGCTCTTCTTGGCCGCCTCGTCCTCCCGCTCTCGGCCGCAGCGCTTGAAGACCCACTCCAGAACGCGGGAGTTTTCGCCGAAGCCGGGCCAGAGGAAGGCGCCGCTGGACGGGTCCTTCCTGAACCAGTTGACGTGGAAGATCTTGGGCAGCTGGGTGGGGGCCTTTCGGCTCTTCATGCTCAGCCAGTGACTGAGGTAGTCGCCGAAGTTGTAGCCGAAGAACGGCCGCATGGCAAAGGGGTCGTGCATGATTACTTTACCTGGATGGAAAATAAACAGTCACATATTTATCTTATAGTCTCTAATTTTTATTTTACGAAAGAGGGGCGTGTCTTAGGTTTTATACCTTTATGCTCAGCAGCTGCCGTGGCCTCGGACCTCATTGCGGCTCCAACAAATACGCCGTGCTGCCAGTCGAAAGACTCGTAGACCAGAGGGACTCCTGAAAATGTCAACATTTTCTGTTTTAAATGTCCTACAACTAACTTTAAATTTACTGTACTGACACACAGTTAAATCCAAAGTACAAACCTTCAGGCCTCCTGCCTCCGAAGATGATGGCGTCGATGGGAACCCCCTCCTCGCTCTCCCATTGGGGGTCAATGATGGGACACTGAGCCGCTGGGGCGCAGAAACGGGAGTTGGGGTGCGCGCAGGGTGTCGAACTTCCTGTGGGTCGACAAAAAACAGTTGAATTTACACCCTTTTAGTGTTTTTTATTGTCCCAGAAAAACAAATTAGGGATACAACCACCTCTTCCTTCTTGGAAGTTGCCAAAGGTGTGCCACAAGGTTCTGTTTTCAGTCCAGATTATTTTCTCAACTTATAACAACCTTTTTACGCAGACACCATTATTTATTGCTGCTAATCACTCTTATCCAGGCTTTTAAGTTTTTACAGGGCACTCTTAATGTAATTTAGTTTCATCTTCAAAAAATGTTAATATCTTGATCCCTCGGCAGTGGGAATTTATTGTTTCCTGAGTGGTTTCTACTTTTTAGAGACTTCTGTATAAAMTGTTGCAATGATTTGTTTCACCACCAGATGGTGCTGCAGACTCCATTAAACTCACTTAGTAGACAAATCAAAGGTGTTACCTGGCTTCCAGGTTTTGCCGTGCCAGTCTGTGAGCGACACTCCAGATCCAGGGGGGTCAAGCCCCTCCCACCACACGCCGCCGTCACTCGTCTCACCGACGTTGGTGAACACCGTGTTTCTGGAAATGGTGGCCATGGCGTAAGGGTTGGTTTTGTCCGAGGTGCCCGGAGCGACGCCGAAGAAGCCGTTCTCTGGGTTGATGGCCCTGAGTTTACCTGCAGACAGGTGAGGTTTAGTTCACCGCGCAGACGGAGTTTAGACGGGCAGGGGCGCGAGCGTGTCGCTCACCTTGACTGTCAAACTTCATCCACGCGATGTCGTCGCCCACGCACTCCACCTTCCAGCCAGGCAGGGACGGTTTCATCATGGCCAGGTTGGTTTTACCGCAGGCGCTGGGGAAGGCCGCCCCTACGTAACGCTTCACCCCCTGAGGGTTGGTGATTCCCAGGATCTGAGGACAGATGACAGACTAAAGCTACCAAAAACACCAGATGATCCTGGTGTTAAACTCCAGCAGGCGAAGGAACACAGAGTCTTTCGTTCAGTTCCTGTTCTCACCAGCATGTGCTCAGCCAGCCAGCCTTCATCCTTGGCGATTCGTGAGGCGATCCGAAGGGCGAAGCATTTCTTCCCGAGGAGAGAGTTTCCTCCGTAACCGCTGCCGAAGGACAGAATCTGCCTGGTGTCCGGCAGGTGGGATATCAGTACCTTGTCGGGGTTACAGGGCCAAGAGTTGACCAGAGGAGCTGATGGGGGGAGAAGAAACAAATATAATTTCAGAATAATAGAAAAAGAAGCTGAAACTATGTGGCTAAAACCTAAAGAAAATAAATACTAACTAAAAGCTAAAAGTTATAGTAGCAAAACGTGATTTTAAAATTGAACGTAGCAAAAGGCTAGCCAGATGCTAAAGTAGCAAGAGACAAGCTAAAAATGGTAAAACAGTTGCTAGCACAGCTCAAAGTTAGAAAAGCTCCAAGGTAAAGTAGCAAAACACTAGCTAAAATCAGTAAATGTTAGCTTAAAGGTACAATTTAAAAAAGGAGAGCTAAAAGCTAAATTAGAAAAATTCTAGCTAAAGCAAATAAATTGTGAGTTTTAGGCTCAAATTAGCAAAAAGGAATGCTTAAAGCTAAAGTGTCAAGATACCAGCTAGAAGTAGCAAAACACTAGCTAAAGGCTAAAACAAGCAAAAGGCTAAAGGTAAATAAATATTAGCTTAAAACTAAAAATAGCTAAATGCTAGCTAAAATGGCAAAAGACTATTTTGATGTAGCAAAACATACAAGTTCAAAGGTAGAAAATCTCCAAGCTAAAGTAGTGAAACTCTAGCTAAAAGCTGCAAAAGGTATAAGGCTATAAGCTACAATTAACAAAAGGCTAACTAAAGGCGAAAACTAAAAATAGCTAAATGTTAGCTAAAATAGCAAAAGACTGATTTAAAGTTATACATGTCAATATGTAAAAGTAGCAAAAGCTAAGAAATAGTAAAATGCCTACAGCTAAAGGTATGAAAATGATAGCTTGAAGCTAAAAATACCAAAACACTAGCTAAAAGCAGAAACTGCAGCTTAAAACTAAAAAAAGCTAAATGTAACTATAAATTGCAAAAGGATAGCTTGAAGCTATAAGTAGCAAAACGCAAACTGAAACTATCAAAAGGTTAGCTCTAAATCATTGTAGCAAAAGGCAAGCTAAAAATGGCAAAAGCCTAGCTAAAAGCTTAAAGTAGCATAAGAAAAGAAAAGCAGATTTTAAATTATTTTAAAAGATGTCATATTTTATGTTAAAAATACGTCAATAAAGTTAAATATTTTGAAAAGTTGCCAAACCTAAAAGCCATCATAGCCGTCTCCTGAATGAGCCGAAGGTTTGAATCTGTAATCTGTACCTTTGAGAGGAAAAGGTCGGCCCACAGAGTGCTGACAGCGAACGAACTCCACTCCTTCAGACAGTTTCTTCAGAACAGGAGCGCCCATGCGTGTCATGATCCCCATACTGGCCACGACGTACGGCGAGTCCGTCACCTGGAACACGCACCAAACACTGATGAGCCTCAGACTCTCCGTGGGTCACAGCCATGACATTACACCGTGACGTGAACCAGAATAAACGACAGCCTCAGAAACAATGCGTACCTGGACGCCATATTTACTCAGCGTGGAGCCAACGGGACCCATGCTGAAGGGAATCACATACATGGTCCGACCTGGAGGGACAACATGGACCCGTTAAGGATTGTTTCGATAATGTTGCAGGTGAGATCGGCTGTAAACGCTGTGACATTTGCTTCCTGATCGCCCGCACAAACACACACACTCAGCACGACACAACCAACAGGTGAAAGTTTGAATTGTTTACAGAAATCCTAAATAAATTAGTCTGAATTTCAGTAATCAGAGGATGAGTTTCTCTTTGGTGGAGTTTGCTCTGGTTGTTTTTGGACCCACCATGGTCACTTCACTATAATCTCTGTGTAATTTTAATCAGAAAACAATTTGATGTATTTTTTGATTGTTTTGTGTGTTTCTGTTTTTTTTTAAATGAACTGTAAAAAAACTTTGGTCAACTTTTGTTGTTTTTATTGTGCTGTATTAACAAATTTGCCACTGAGCAGCGTTATGTCTCATTACTGTCACCTAATTAAACTCGACACTCAGTGGAGTTTTATGGGTCTGATGTCACAGAATTAAGTAATTAAGCTTATTAAGAGATAGCTTGCAGATCTGAACTGTGTTGGAATGAACACACGGTTCTGAACGTTCTGTAACTTTTACAGAAACAATCTGCAATCTGAGGGAGGAAGTTGTGCGCCACTCCACACCCACAGATTTGTAAACAGTAAACTTTGGATCATATATCCAAATATCAGAGGGCGGGTTCTGTAAACGGAGCGGAGTCCGACCGCTCAGAGAAGGTCATAGATCCACATTACAGGGACGTTTTTATTGTCTTTGTGTCACTGCAGCTGATTCTGCTCATCAGAGTGACAGGAAAAACAAAATAATACATTTGAGTTTGACAATATTTGACTTTTTGGATTTAAAGGTTATAAACTTTAAAGTATCTTGAAACTCATTCAGAGAGGATCATAAACTTTTAATCTTGCAGCAGCTCTGGACTGTGTACGGAAGAAGATTAGGGCCACAGAGTTGAGTTGTGAATTTAATCTCAGATTAAAGAACTATTTTTTCCTAATTCTAAGAAAAAAGTCAAAATTCTCATTAATCTCAGAATTCTGAGAAAATTCTGAAATCTGAAATTTTGAGAAAAATGTCAGATTTTGAGAAATAATCAGAATTATGATAAATAAGTCAGAATTATGAGATTTTGAGAAATGAAAATCAGAATTATAAGATATTTAAAAAGTCAGAATTGTGACAAATAAGTGAGATTTTGAGAAAAGTCTGAATTATGAGAAAAATGTCAGAACTATGACTTTAACCTCAGAATTAAGAGAAAAAAGTTGGAATTCTGAAATTTGAGAAATGTCAGAATTGTGAGAAAATAGTCAGAATTATGAGATGTTAAATACTTCAGAATTCTGATAAATAAGTGAGATTTTGAGAAAAAAAGTCAGAATTATGAGAAAAAAATTTAAATTATGACTTTAATCTCAGAATTGTGAGAAAAAAGTTGGAATTCTGAAATTTGAGAAAAGTCAGGATTATGAGAAAATAGTCAGGATTATGAGATATTAAATAACTCAGAGTTCTGATAAATAAGTCTGAGATTTTGAGAAAATAGTCAGAATTATGACTTTAATCTCAGAATTATGAGAAAAAAGTTGGAATTCTGAAATTCTGAGAAAAAAATCTGAATTCTAAGAAAATAAATCTTTTTGCTTTGTGGCACTAATCGTCTTCCGTACATGAAAAGTGTAAACCTTGAGGTTGATGGTTAAACTGGTTTTAAAACGTTTCCTTGCACTGCTCGTTAACTTGGCATTAGTAAAGCGATTGTTAGGTAACAGGGAGGGAAGCCCACGCTCCAGGAAACAAAAGAATAATGTTCTTTCTGCTTGTCGGACCTACCTGCCATGCAGCCGGGGAAGCGATCCTGTCTGGCTTTCAGCCAGTCGGACTCGCTCATCCAGTTACCCAGCTGGCTCTTCACCCCGTCAGCAGGGATGGGGATCGTGTCTCTCTGGTTCTTGGTCACGATCACAGTTTTGCTCTCCACTCGGGCAACGTCCTTCGGGTCCGTTCGCGCCAACCAACTGCCCGAAAACAAAAACAGACTCAGTCAGAGAAGAGGGATTTATTTAACGGCGGCCCGCCGCTGCACGGGTCTCACCAGTTCTCATATTTGGGAAGCTTCTTGATCATCCCGTCCCTCTCCAGGCCGGCCAGGATGTTGGCGGTTTCCTCCGGCGTCCCCGTCACCACGTGGACGTTGGCGGGTTTGCACTCGTCCACCGCGCCCTTCACGAAGTCGGCCACCGCCGGCGGAAGCGAGGGGACGGAGGCGAGGGTTCGAACCCCGACGCTCGTCCCGACACATCCCTGCCTGAAAGAAGAAGAAGAGTCTTCACACAGGGCAGAAACTGCATCCTGTCCACCGCCTTTGTTTTAAAACAACATGTCAGCTGATCAGTTAGAGCTCAGACTGAACGTTGAAGAGGATTCTCAGCTACTACCAGACTAAACTTTAGCTCCGTATCTCAAAAACTGACTGAATTACAGACAATTTTGTGTCAAATTAGCTGTAGATGCTATCGTTAAATAGTTAAAGATGTAAGAGTTAAAAAAATAATACGAATCCAGTAGTTTTTGAGATATTTTGCAAACAGACAGACAAATGAACACAGACACTCAAACTGAAAGCTGTATCATGACTTCTGGGCATAAAGGAAGGCCTGCAGGGAGTCTTTAGCTTGTTAGCAGGATCACATTCAGCTGCTGTGTTTACCGGCTAAACACAAGCCTGCGTGTGTGTTACTGCGTGTTTGTGTGTGTTTATGTGTGCCTCGAGCCCCGCCAAAGAAACAGGATTTTTATCTACTGTCGACTCTTTCGGATTTAAAAGAAAGCTTCTGGTTGGACAGGCGGCGCAGGTCCGACTCCCCAGCTTTGATTGACGTCTCAAAGTCCGACGCCATCGTTGAGTCGGGAGCAGGCACGTGGCTCCCAAACGCCGAGCTCTCGATCACACACACATCACGTACACACATCACGTACACACATCACGTACACACGGATAAACAAGTAGGCCCGAACGTGCAAAGGGTAAGGACTGGAACAGTGAATAAATCAGGTTCTAATCTTTCTCAGAACTGCCATCTTTGACCCTCGTTTAACCATTAATGTGAGAACAATTAATCATCAACACATCTGCCTGAGCTGGAGGCGTACAGCGAGCGTCACGGAGCACCTGCAGCTCAGAGGGTTGAAGATCTGCAGGCGAACTCTCAGGCAATCACGTCGCTGCGACTGTCGGCAACAAAACGTCCCGAGGGGATCTCCGTTTCCCTGCACGAGGTGCAAAATTTGTGCCAAATTTTGTCGAGAATTTGTGTCATTCCAAGTAATAATTCGTCAAAATTGTCAGAGGTGTGGAGGGAGTTAGCGTCAAGATATTTTAAACTGAGCAGAACTGAGGCCTTAATATACAGATCTCAGCATGAGCCTCCCGACAAGCTTACAACAAGATGACAAAGACCTCCATTATCAACACTGAACACTGGGAACATGTTAACGAACTTAAAGGGCCTGTTAACGTCAAATTTTTGTAATAAACATGAACGCATTTTTGGAAAGATTACATTTATAACATACTGTAAAACAAATTTCACGTTGCTTAGACGAACGGCTGTTGAGATATTTACATGCGAAGAAACAGGAAGTGATGTCAAAGGGAATGTCGGCATTTAAACAGAGCGTTGTTGCAAAAGCTAACAATAGACTGTAGAGGAGAATCTGATGTTTCTTAAGATTATTTTTAGTCGCTATCAAAGAGAGACAAAGGAGAGAAAGAAAAAATTTCTTTTAATAAACTGAGACCAGCGAGTTTATTTTCTTGAGCTCCCCTTTGATGTCACTTCCTGTTTCACTGTGGCTGAGCCAAATTCAAAAGAAAGTAGGCCAGTTATGAGACAAAATGGGTAAAATCATGTTTATCATGCCAATGTTCTTAAATATAAAGATGCTTTCTTTGACTTTTTGTATTTGAAGGATAGAAATGTCACAGGCACTTTAAAGAGCTGCAGACACAGGAAGGCACCAAGCTAATGCTAGGCTAAAGCTAACTTCTAACGACGGTATTTGGTAGGAAATGATTCTGTTGTCCTCATAAAACAAAGCGACTTTACGCTGCTTTACCCACTAATTGAAAACCTTGTTAAAGTCTTTGGCGAGGCCTTCAGGTGCATGGTATGGTTTTAATAATGCACCAATGGCAGCCTGTCAGGGTCCTGGTCTGGTGTCGGTGTATTCATGAAAATAGGCCCACAGCATGGTTTAGATGTCCGCTGACCCCTCTGACCTCATGCTTTGGCTTCACCTAACACAGGTGTGACACCTGTAGTCAAATCCTTTAACTGTTTAGCTCCAAAAATCAATATAACCACGTTTTAATAAATCACACAGATCACAACAGGGATATTGTTTGAGGCGGCAGGTTTAAAACCAGAATTTGAGTAAATCGTGAAAGTTTCAGTCTCTGTGCTGCCAGCTGTGAGGCTCTGACATCGACATGCAAACACACAATAAAAACGCTGACACCATGCAGGATGTTGGCTGTGTATCCTGCTGCTTTGTGCTCGCACTGTACCTTCATAATGTTCCTGGATGACTCACCTTTGGACCTCATACAGGTGAGGCTGATAGAGATGTTGGCTTTGCTGATATCTGGTCATAAACTAAATCCCTGCAGAAGATGTTGAAGCACAACTCGAGATTTAACCTCTGGAAACTGTCCGACTAAAGAAATGATCAGATCACTGGAACTGAATCAATAATGATGTCATTTTCACCACTGTGACTGGGGTCAAGAGGGAGGTCACAGGCTGCTGCTGAATTTCAGCCGTCTACGAGACGATTCAAGTAGGATATTAAAGTATTTCTTTAAAGCTTGTGTCAAACTCAAGGCCCGCGGGCCAAATGTGGCCTGTCACAGCATTTTAGATAGAGACAAACAGTTGAGATGTTTGCATGTGAAGTAGGAGGAAGTGATGACAAAAAGGAATGTCTGCTTTTAAACAGAGCGTTGCTACAATATCTGACAACAGACTGAAGAAGAATCTGATGTTTCTTTAGATTTTTTTCTTCAGTTACCCTTTGATGTCACTTCCTGTTTCATTTTGAACCAGGTTCAATGGAAAATATGACAGTTAACAGTGGTGGGCACCAGCCCGCTAAAGCGCAAATCTGATAATTGCGCACCTAAATATTTTGTTTACGCTTTAGCRGTCTTACAAATTTTTTTAATTCATAAGCGGATTTGTGCTTTCTACATTTAAAATGCAGTACCGCTAATAACTAATTATCTACCAGTCCATTATCTTGAACAGCAGAAGGTATGACTGTCAATGAATCACAACATGTGATCTATCCAACAGCACCCCTCCCAGATAAACACACTTATTGTGAAAGTATACATCCTTGCTGACTGTTGCATTCGGTCACAGTTCTGATTTCCCACAATGCTTTGTGTCTGCTTACGTAGCAGGAAGGCAATGTTTTGAACTCCCTGTCCCAGTAAAAACAGTTAACGTTTGTAATCCATACTAAAATTTTGTATGTATTGATTTATTTTACTTTACAATCTGAGCTCCTTTTTGTAAAAAAAAATAAAGTTTAAACGCTGGCGCTCAATACTTGGCGTAATTGGTCGAAGCAACGGGGTTAGAGACGCAGAAATGATTTAAAGATGTTATGCTGATGAAGACTGACATCTAGTGGTCAACTGGAGCAACTACATGGAAAACTTTAAAATCCAAGCTCTTATTTTGAAGTTCGCAGATAGTTTCCTGTACTCAGTGCTTTCGTTTCCTGTCACAAACCAAATCCGTCAGGTACCCAGAATGCATCGCTTCAGTTTTTCCAACAAACAGTTTTAAAACTACTTTATTGATGCTTCTTTAATGAAAAATCTACAACAAACAAAAGAAAAAGACAAAGAAGCAGCTGAACTAGCAATCCTCAACAACTTTTTAATTTTTACACCAGGAGCCAAAGGTCTGTTTCAGGAAATCACATCCCCAGCAATCGGCGGTTGTAGGATTAAGCTGTAGAAGAGTTTATGCACTGTTAGTTGGCAGTGTTGTACATATATTGTACATGAATTGTTGCCAGCTAGTAAGTGTCAAATTGAACTTGTGCTTTAAAATTAGCTTCCGCTAGTTTTTCTATAGCATAAGCGCTTTTGAAGTTGCGTATTGCGGAGCTAATTTTTGGATTAGCGCTGCCCACCACTGACAGTTACGTAAGAAAATGTGTAAATTGTGTGTATTATGCCAAGTTTCTTAAATGTGATTTTTTTTTTACTTTTAGTTTTTGAAGGATTTGCTCGTCACAGGCATTTTAAAGTTAGCTTAGACTTTAAATTACATCTCCCACAATGCATGTTGATTATTTTAGCCATAAAAATTACAGCATCCCACTACTAGGTGGCGCTGAAAGGGGCTTAAAAGTAGCCAACAGCCATGCAAGAGCTCTAATTTGTTGTATTTACACCGTCTACTTTTGTTGCAGCACAGTACTGGGAAGTAGGAATTTCCCACTTACAAGTTGTAAATTTTAACTGGAACGCACCCTTCAGTGGGAATTCCCTGCTTTTTCTTTAAATAGTATTTGTGTTTTATTTAGTTCACATTTAGTCAGTGGTAGTACTTTTCAGTGTTTATAAGAGGATGTGAAAAAAATGCTATTTTTATGCAAGAAATACCAGGTAGAGCTCAGTTAGTGTTTGTTAGCGGTGCTCAGGAACATGATGTTTTAGTCAAAGTTAATTACCACCATCATGCCTCATGTGGGCCTCGATGAAAATGAGTTCAACAGATCTGATGACCTTTACTCCAGATTTTCTTCTTGCCTTTCAAAAAGCTGCTGTGTGACATTTTTCTCTTCTTTTTTTTTCAGCCGCTGCGTTCTCATCACCAGAACATTAAAGGAACTGTCAAAGAACTCCTCGAGTCTCTGCGAACCTGGAAACATACCTCCCTGTTCGACAGACCAATCCTCCTGCAGCACGGCTCCACACAGCCCCCCTACCTCAGCCCTGATGGACCCAGCCGGGCCAGAGTCCAGGCCCAGAAAACCACGCACACACAGGACATGCTCGGGGACATTCAGTGATGATTGCACTTATTTACATTTCCTCAGGCAGAAACACACACACACACAGGTCCCACTGCATGCTCCGTTAAAGACACACACACGTTTGCTCACTTTGACTCCAGGCTTCCTGTGTGATGTGGCCTCATCACAAAGCCTTTGGGTGGAGAGGAAGAATGCACAGCAGATATTTTTAACACAATGTTCTGATGCATCATCAGTTTTATTTATTTTTCCGTAAAGACAACTGATCCAACACTTCCACTCTGACAAGTTTCTGACACACATGATGTAATTTACTCCTGAAAACTAAAATAAACACAACAAATATTTTAAAATAAAGCAAGAGAAATGATTAATTACATCATATTTATGATTTGGAACTTATTCTTGTGTTTGTTTTGTAATAAAATGAACATAAACTATTTTTAAAAAGGCAGATAAAAGTACATTGAGTTTTTTAAAATTCAGAATCACTTACCTTCTTATAACTCCTAATAAAAGGCACGACATCTTTGGAGCAAAACTTAATTAATTAAAAAAATCAGCGTAAAAAAGGAGCTAAAAAAAGAAGCGATCAGCAGCTAAAACTTTTCACAGCTCATGTCCCTGGTTCCGACGGGACCTTGCACTTTGCTCCACACCTGGATGCTGGACCTGACCTCCCGATCCACGACCCCCGATGAACTGACGAGTCCGCGGAGCGTGCGCGCTGCTTTTAAAAGAAAAGAAAAAGTTGAAGATCAAAGGCGAAACGCGCGAAAGGGGCGGGGCTTCAGCTCCAACATTTACAGGCACAGCTGTTTAACCGGTCCCCGGGCTGAGTCCATGATGTGTCCTCTTCTMATGTGGGACACACCGGGCGGCTCGTGGCTCCTGGATGATGCAAGGCTCCACGGTTCCTGCACCGCGCCGCGCGCCGTGACGCACGGAGCCAACCCGGAAGTASGAGCCGAGGCGCGTAAACTTATATAATAAAACAAAGCTGCTGCTGTTGTTACTAGCACATGATGTTACACACTTATAACTTCACTTTTTAATWATATAGTTTCTTTTTTAAACACGTAGTTGAAATAAACCCAAAGTAATCTATATTTTTTTAAAATCCTAAAAGAATTTAATAACAAAACCCCAAACATGTTCTCAGAAGAGTGCAAATATTCACTTATTTATGTCATTTCTTTCATTTCCTGGTACGGAGCACTGTAAGTGCCGTAAAAAATAAAACGAGCAGTTTAGAATATATTTTCACTTCTAAAAGAACAAACAGGTTTGCTAACAAACTTTGTTTTAATAGAACAAGCAAAGAAAAAAATACTACTAAAATTACTAAAATTTATGCCAATACTTGGGCATGGTTTTCAATTTTTAACCATTAAACTTCAACTTCAACATCATTTGAAGACTCATGTTTTAAAGCGCCTGCGATGTAAAATTTTCATAATTAAAAAAATGCCATTTTTGAATAGACAGCTTTAATAGCATATAGCAAAAACATAAATTACGCCACTGAGACAAACAGTCGATGAGATATTTGCGAGTGAAGTAACAGGAAGTGATGTCAAAGGGGAATATCTGCATGTGAATAAAGTTTTGCTACAATAACAACACAGAGTGTAGAGGAGAATCTGATGTTTCTGTAGATTAYTTTGAGCCTCTATCAGAAATGAAGAAACAAAATTGTCTCAGTAAACAAAAACCAGGAAGTTCCCATTTGATGTCACTTCCTGTTTCACTAATCTACACTAAGTTAAAGAAAACTGGTAAAATCTTGCGTGTATTATGACAAATCTCTTAAATATTTTGTTTTCTTCCACTTTTTGTCGTGCATGTCTCTGGCACGTTAAACAAAAAGTGTTTTATTTTGAAAAATAAAAAACATTTTTGGTCAAACCTTCAGAGGTGTGTGCCGAGGATGAATCTCAGCTACCACCACGTCAAACGTTGACTCAAAATCTGTAAAGTTTATAAATTTATGCACGTTTTTGTGTTGTCTAAGGTCAGACAGTGTGTCTTATTTTCTCGTGTATTGTTGCTGTTGTGTTCTGGTTTCTTCAGTCATTTTAATGAAGATTAGTCCAAATTGTTCCCAGCTGTGCAGATCACCAACAGAAATGTTCTGACCCGGATGTAAGTCTGTGAATGTTAAACTAAAGTGAAGCTCAGACTGCTGACTGCAGGGCCGATCAGGGTTCAGATGAACTTTGGTTCCACATGTTTGCAGAGGAGATCCAGTGTTTTTCTGTCAGTTCTTCCCTCTGCTGAGGCAAACACACACAGGTGTTGCACAAATCATTGAGAAAGAGCAACGCTGACAAACTGAGGGTGTAACTCAGAAACACACTGAACCCACTGAGGAGATCCTGAAACACAAACTGCAAACTGTACCAGACCAGTTTACTTGACTGAACTGGTTTAGTCTGTTCATATAATGGTATACATGTGTAAACAGTGTTCATCTGTGTGGCTTTAACTGGTAGAACTGTCTGTTTTTACTGTTTCCATTATGACAGGTACAATACCATAAACAGACACGTTATTTCTGTCAAAGTTGGACCAATAAATCGTCCATCCATCCATCCATCCATCCATCCATCCATCCATCCATCCATCCATCCATCCATCCATCCATCCATCCATCC